TTAAAGACATAGTTGAGAAATAAAGTTACAATTCTGAGTTTTAAAGTCATAGATTTAGGGTAAAATTTAAGACTTTATAATTAATAATCTTAAAAATTTACAGCAACTATGAAACCATGAATGAAATGCAAAATCACAACTACGCCTTTAAAGTGTTCAATTCGGAGTTTTAAAGTCATAGATGTATGCAGCAAAATAATAATTATGAATAATGATGTCATCATTTTGACCTTGTATGTCATAATTATGAACTATCACATTAGAAAAACTTACTTAAAACGTTATGATTAATATTTAAAATGAATATGACCTAATTTAAGTTAATGGTGGCATTAATGGGCTTCTGTACCCCACTGATCTATTTCTACACCAAAGCCGTTCTCATGCAGGTCTTGAACAAAAGACAGCGTATCAAAAGTTTGAGGATAATCATGGAGAAAGGCTTAGCCTCACTAAATAAGCTGCAGAAAAAAAATCTGCCAACCAAACTACTGTACATTGGGAGAAGAAAAAAGGAAAAACGTTGACTATAACCTTCATATTACTAAAACATGTTTTAAGAAGCAACTTCTAAATACGTCATTGTTCGGATTCCATACCTTTAATGTCCGTCAGGTATTTTGTCCTTCAGCAGGTGCATTTGGCACATTTCAGTCTTCATAATCCATATCTCCTCCGCCTGCTGGCACCAAAAGTTTCCCACTTGTTGCAGAACCCAAGAATCCATAATGTGGGAAGAAAACAATTTACCAACAATCGTTGTGCATTAAGGCTCCACCGCTCTCAGATTTGTGTAGTTGTCAGAGCAGGTTCACCCAGGCGCAGGATAAAGAGGATATTTGCATCAGGACGACCCTCCCCTCGCCTTTCAGAGCTGCCATTGTTTGTCTCAGCCGGGGGGCTTGGATTCAGGCCTTCACTAAATCCCTGATGAACGGAGCAGGTTTTTTTTCTTGTGAGTTGAAGCTGGCAATTACCAATCACCACAGAGAAATCTATTATACCAACCTCATGTCCAGACTATAACTGGTGGACCTGGCAGGTCTAAATCTGCAGCAGGTCACTGAAACAGACAGCAGACCCAGTTTGACCCGTGGTGATGCAGAAATGCTTCAAATACCTGCACATAAAAGGCCTGAAGCATCTGACGGGGTTTAACAGTGTTTATTGAAGCAAACACATATTTAACCCGTGAAAGGTCTCAGTGGGGGGGGGGGGGGGGGGATCAATTTCTGTTAAAATTTGTTTATTTGGTGTTTTAAATAAACAACCGTTCCCGACAAAGCTTAAAAATCTTTATTTTTTTACTTTGTCAGAATTGCTTCAAACTCTCCCATAAACTCCCAGTAAAATCATTGCCCTCTAGTGTTCCATAGGGGAAAAACAACCCTAATGAAATCCCATTATAAATACATTTTTATCCTATATTTTTGATTAAACAAAATATGTAGGTTTTTTTTTTGTTTGTTTGTTTTTTTAATTTACATTTATATTTCTGTTTACCAGTTGGGCTGCGGTGCTACCCTCTCCTATGGTCGTAAACTTTGGGTAGTGACCAAAAGTATGAGATCGCGGATACAGGCGGTCGAAATGAGTTTTAGTTGTAGAGTAGTTGGACTTTTCCTTAGAGATATGGTGAGAAGTTCAGTTATCATGGAGATTACTAAACGAATAATGAAAAAGACGTGCGGCCTAAAATTTGACCTGTGCTGGTTACAAGTTAATTAAAAATTCTCAAAATGCTTCAGAATGTTTGTTAGATGAAATGTGATAATTTATCAACTGGCATGGCAAGAAGATAGTTTGTTTAAGAGAGCGCCGTTTTTAAAACTTGACTTTTAATCCCCAAGCTTTACAATAAAGCCAAACATTATATGAAGGGATTTCCCAGCACTAAGGCAGTCAGAGGAGAACAATGGTCTATTTCAAAGTAAATTACAAGGGTAATAGGACAAAAGTTTATTTCTGAAGATTTACCTGTTAGAAAGCAGGTTCCTAGTATCACAAGGGACAAACACGAGGGAGCTGGAGTAAAATACAAACTTATTTATTTAAACAACAAACGGCTGACACGGCGGCAAAAGCACGAGGAAAACAAATGGATAGAGATATAGGAAGCTAACGTAATGAGCTACTGGAGAGGTGGTGACTGGAGACCAGTTATAAAGTAAACTGAGGGACCGAGGAAAGAGAGGACACCTGGGCAGATTACTAATTGCTAATTAGGAACAGGTGAGGGGGCAGATTGAAACAAACACTGAAGAAGCTGACAGAGGGGAAAATGGAAGATGAGAACTGGCAATGAAACAGGGAGCTGAACCCAAGGAGAAATAAAACTAAGATTAACTAACTGAAAATCACAGACTATAACACCGAGTGACTCTGGGGAAACCTGGACCAGGGAATTTGAGACAAACAAAAATTAGAGAAAATGAGGGGAATTTAAACGCCGGTCTGCTCATTAAAAGATGACCTGAGATTTAATTATTATTTTTGAATTTAATTAATGTGTTCATGTATTAATGCTAGTATTGTAGCATCAGTGAGTCCACATTCTGCTTCTGCAGAGTACACGGATCCTTACAGACTGGCTATGGTGGCTTTTTAGAATCTGATGTTAAAGAATATAAACAATTATTAGGAATGATTGTCATATGCAGGTATCGTAGGCTACAGTATTCTTCTACTTCACTGCTACAGTAAATACTTTGCCCGCCACCTAAGATACAAAGTTGTGTTTTGTGACTGAAACATCTGGAATTTTAGGATTTACCCTGGAAAAATCAGGGAAAACTCAGGGAATTCTGTTTTCATGAAATGCTGAACCCTGTTGAAGGCAGAATAGGAAGAATATACGACAATTTATTTGTCGTTTGCTAGATGGTGTTTTTACAGACTCGTTTTTATTCATATCAAGTGCAGCACAAAATTATATTTTCATATCGCGAAATTCTAACTAGATTATGTTTATCAGTCACACGTTAAAAGATGGGACAAGATTTTTATTATGGATGAAACTTTCTTTTTGCGGGAATGTTTGGGATAAAGGATTAAACGTAAAGGTTTGAGTGAGAACCAGTTGGAAATCATTATCCAGACTGGTGTGTTTAAACAAACCTTGCTGCTGAATTACAACTCTTTGTCTTTGAGCGACTGATTCTTGTCACCTAGTGGATCGTTGAGATGAACTAAAACAAACTTGCCCTCAAACCCTGCAAAATTCAAACAATACAAAGACTTCATTAAAAAAAGCAAGTTAGATTTACACATTCAGCTAATTAAAGTCCAGAAATAGTTTAATAAGCTAAGCATACAGGAGAATCTAAAAAATCTGAATATATTGAAAAAGTTATTTCCCAATTATTTCATTAAATGAAATACACGTATTATATATTTTGAGATGAAGCTGTATATTAGGTGACCACTTTGCTTTTTTCCCCAATATGGTGGAAAAATAAGATAATTTTAGTCACCACAGTTGATTTGCTGTAAATAAATAAATAAATAAATTGCAACTTATCCTGGCTCTTTTCTCATTCTTGAGTCTCCATCCTCATTTTATTTCCAGCTGCAGGAACAGATCTCGAGCAGCGTCTCTTTGCTTAGTGTGAATGTCTAATTTAAGTAGAGAAATTGCATTTCCTGTGATAATGCAGTGTGAATGCTTATTGCAGACAAACTTACTGAAAAACAGCTGAAATTAGCTAAAATCATGCTGAAATGTAGCTGAAGTGGATGAACATGCCTACATTAGCAGAAGAAAGGAGAAAGAACACATTTTTGCTGGATTAAGTTTGCACAAAAATTAGGAAATTGGATTTTTTTTAAAAAGGCTGAAATTAGCACAAAATAGCTGAAAAGTAGCTAAAAAGCAGAATGGAGCTAAAATTACCAGAAGGAAGTGGAGAGAGAGCGCATTTTACCTGAATTAGGGTGAAAAAAGTTGAAATGAGTGCAAAAAATGTGGAATTAGCTAAAAAAGCTAAAATTAGCATAAAAACTGCTAATAGTAGCTGAAATAGCAGAAAAAGATAAAACTTGCAGAAATAAGCTGAAAGGAGCATAACAAGCTGAAATTGGCAAAAAGAAGTTAGAAGAAGCACAAAATGTAGTTAGTTGAATGAGTCTGAAAGGAGCACAAAACAGCTAAAAAAAACCACCTGAAATTAGCTGAAAAAAGTTTATATTTTCATAAGAAGCTGAAAGAAGCTGAACCAGAACAAAAAGTGAAAGGAGCAGTAAAAGGTTGTAAACACATGTAAAGATTTGAAGGATGGAAAATGAGCTCAATTCAGTTTCTATGCGGGGGGAAAAAAGTCAGAAAAGGCTAAAGATATTAAAAAGCTAAAGTTGCACAAATACCAAATGTCATAGCAAGATTGTCCTGAAACAGCTGAACGTTTTGATTTATTGAAATAGTTTGAAAACTGCAGGATAAAAATCGTGTTAAAAAACGTATTGAAGAACAATGGATCACAATAATGTGAATGCTTCACATTCACAGAATTAGAAATATTGAAAATTAAAGCCCAATTTACCCTAAATTAAACTATCTTTTGGAGAAGCCTATGTGACAAAAACCTAGTTCTCAACTTTGACTCTACTATTTTTTTGTGCCCATTTTTTAACACGTCTATATTCAAATCTTTAACACAAAACAATAAAGATCGGTGTTGAAGGCACTAAAAGAGCTCCGGTTGTTCTGAAAGTTTGACTCAACTAAAAGCAGCTAAATCTGGTGAACAGTCGTAAAAATCAGAAAGTAGCGCATCACTTTAAATCATCGGTGCCGTCAACACTGCTCTGAGGGGGAGAAAAAACTTGCAGAAGAATAAATGAACTAAATAATGTTTATTAAAATATATAAAAGACAAAATACATATATGCATAATTATATTCATGATGAAATATGCATAATGGGTGTAATTATCATACAGTAAAATGTTAACATATATAGATTTTTTTATACATAGAGATATTTTTGCATTAAATCTGGCAGTGGTGATTTTATACCTCCCCTCCTCGCCCAAAAACAAACAAACAAACAAACAATAAACGACCTCTCAGCCCACAGCAGGCGTCTAAATAAAGTGACGCCTCCGTGAAAAGCTGGAGAGCAGCAGCACCTTTTACACCTGAGAGATTTGGAAAAGTCTCACGCAGAACAGCTGTCCTGACGTCAACTGTAGCTTGTAGGACTTTACTGAGCTTCAAGAGGGAGAAGAGACATGACAGTTATCTGGTTCATTTTTTTATCTACCGACTCCCCCGACAAGTGTGTGTACAGAGTATTAATTTAAAAAATGATAAAACACTGGAAAATTGTGACAAACTGTAGAGGTTTTGTTCTAACGTCTGTCTCAGGATGGGTTTGTGGAATTAACACGAGGTTTTAAAGTTCCTGGTCTGAGATGTTCCCGTTGGGCGAATAAGTCCTTCAGACGGGTTGGTTGTGGTGGGTCCTGTACAGTTTTGGTCACTGCACGCTGAGGGGCGTCATGTCTGGTGGTAGTGGTGATAGTGGTGATGGTGGTGGTGTTCGTGGTGATGGTGATGCTCGTGGCGCTGTACCACCGGAACCGCAAACCCAGGGCTCCCTGGCGGCCCCGACGCCTGTTCTCTCTCCACGCTCGGCAGTACGGAGGGCACTGGGGGCTGTTGGTGGGGGTGGGACTGAGGCAGGTGGGGCGTTTTCGACGGAGACAGGGACTCGCGAGCTCTGGCCTTCAGCCGCTTGCTGTGGCTGTACTGCAGAGGGTGCTGGTGGTGGCTGGAGGGCTGCGCTTGGTGCGGCAGGTGGTACACATCCTGACCTCCGTGGCCTGCAGCGCTGCTGCTGTGCAGGACCGTTTGCAGAGGAGGGTTGTAACTGTGGCATTTAGTGGACCTACCCCCTCCACTGCCCCCATTATTCCCTCCACTCCCTTTGTAGGTTCCTTTGGGGGATTTGAAGGAATGCGGACCCTTGCTTCGTCCCTCTACAGCGTTGTAGCTGTCGCTGATGACCTGTGAGCGGCGCTGGTGAACAGCATGGGCTTCTGGTTCCTGGGAGTGCGAGCGACTCTGGCTATGTGAACTCCGACCATTGGTCTCCTGAGGGGGGAAGACGGGGGTGGTTCCTGAAGGAAAGGACAGAGACGGCAGTGGCTTCATTATTCATCAGCAACAACTCCTAATATCCTGTCACGTGCAGCCGTGTTTTCAGATAACTAATAAAACTGAAACGTTGCATTCTGATAATCACAGAAACATTCCGACATTTCTGCAGGACGTGTCCTCGTGCTAGAGCTCGCTCTGGTTGTCGCTTTTAGCTCGTTCAAAGCGGGAGTGCGGTCAGAACAGGTGCAGGTGCTCTAACTGTGGCTTCAAATGATGCCAGGGCAGAGACGCCTGAAATGACATCACTAAAACTCAGGAGCCACATGTGTTCTCAGTCAAATCAAAATGATCCATTTTACCTGCTGTCAAACTTGTCTGGTGCTCACAGGATACTCTACGATGCTCAGATGTCTCTCTCATCACTTGTTGGGAGGACCTGCAAGGTGTTCTACATGTGGACCGGAGCAGGAGAGCTGACCAGGGTGTCACTGCTGCTACTTTCACGATGAGAGCATTAAAAAAATATGCAGCTATGTGTCTGGTTTTCAGTTAGGTCCAACATTTTCCTTGGTGCTTTCTCTCTTTCTCTCTGCTAGTGTGAGTTTGATCACACGCATAAGTCGGACGTGCCTGTGTGTCACCGGACTGCACTACTTTGTACGATACACATTTAATACAATGTTAGATTTTAGTCACAGAAGTCCCAGTGAGGTCAGGGACGTGGGAGGCGTCTCCCCTGACTGCAGTCCATTGGGAAGGTGAAACCATGTGCAGACATTTATTTATTTATTAAATGTTGTGATCTTCATGGGGGGGGGGGGGGGTCCTGTTGGAGGTCACCCACTTTGGATAATGGTAGAGGAAACAGTGAATCTACCAACAGGTAAAATATTACCGTATTCTCCGGACTATAAGTCGCTCTTTTTTTCATAATTTGGCCGGTCCTGCGACTTGTACTTCTTGTTCCATACTCATGACACAATTTTTGACCGACGTGTTAAATATTCATTCATACAGACATGAACCAGAGTAAACATAACCATTTGCAGCTGCGAGAGCATCCTCTAGACTTTTGACAACTATAAATTGTTCCTCTACCACTAACAACCCCCCCCCCCCCCCCCCCCCCCCCCCCCAAAAAAAAAACATTCAGTTAGAGATAACTGAGAAAAACTTAACACAAGTAAAATGCCCCCAAATGAAAATGCTATTCAACAGATTACAAACTGCAGGTAATAAAATATGCAGCCCAAAATGGTAATCGAGCGGCAAAAAGAAAGTTTGTAAACGGGTGGGGGACACAGTCTGCCCAGGGAATTCAACCTCAGCTCGGCAGCTGAGAATTCCCCCTTGCGGGGGACCTTCCCACCATGTCTGGCGGGTTCCCGCCGGGTGCATTTCCTCCGCAGCGGTGCGCAGCGACCAGCTCTGGGTCAGCCTGGAAGGGTCTGGGGACTGTAATACAGTATATGTTGACTTACTCCTTCACTACAAGAAGACGGATGCTTGACGGACTCATCATGAACTGTATTATTAACAATCGTCTTCAGAACACCTTAGTGTCATAACATCAGCATCATTCCTGGTCTCATCACATTACATATCACTCTGCCACCACAGATCACAACCCATTCATGTATTAGTGAGCAGCACTATATACTACAGGGACAAAGGTGGCTCACGGCTCCGGCTGCGAGCTCTACAGTGTCTCCTTTCCCGCACCTTGCCGCTTCCTAGGGCCGCGGACTATGTGTCTTGCTGTGCCCTTCCTCTCCGTTCCAGCAGCGGAGGGAAGGGCCCCCGGCATGGATGCCAACCGGTGCAAACAAATAATTGTTTTGAAATATATTTCTATCAGTATTATATTTTGTTATGTTACTGAAGTTGTGTACACCTACGGATGCATATTAAACTGATGCAGAACTTTTATTTCCGGGTTTTTGTTTTCGGTAGGAAGGAGTTTTAGTTACACGCCTGCACTCTGCAACAAGCCTGACACTTGATTGTTCACATCAGTGATGGAAGTATTATTGGCTGAGAGGCTGGTCACGTGGTAAAAGTAGGCTGTCCTACGAGCGGAGATGACGACACCAAGGGGTGTGACCAGTTTCTGAAGAAAAATGTGGTGCGCGCTGTTAATGAGGCGGGTGTTGAGGTGAAATGGGCAGACGTCCTGTGAGTTTGTGATTTCCACTTATCTGTACAATAAACCTGCAATAATGCTGTGCACATTTGTTTCAGAGCCTGCTTCAGACCTTTGAATAACGCTTACAGTTTTTAGGTGTTAATCTTGTTCAGTTTTTGAAAAACTGCAACAGTGAGTCCTCCCATGCGCGCTCCCGCAGCCGTCAATTGATTTTTGGCAGCTAATCTATTTTATGCATGATACAAGCCCACATTTTCCAAGAGCAAGGGGTCAGTGGCGATGCATAATAAATGTGACTTATACTCCGAAGATGTTATTTTTCCTCTTCATGAGGCATTTTTTGACTGATGCTTTGACTGATACGACCTATACTCTGGAGCGACGTATAGCCTGGAAAATACGGTCACTGTTCATAACTTTCGTCAGATCCCACACTTGAAAAGATTCAACAACCAGAGTTCCTGCCTTGTTTTGTTTGAGTTAGGCTGCTACCAAAGGACAGACACAAACGTATCGCAGGACATTGTGTACACCTGTGCTCATAAAACCTCTACTTGTTTGACGTTCAAAGCTCTTACCTTCAAATCTGGAGGTGTAGTTCTCGATACCAGCCAGGTCCAGGTAGTGATTCCTCCTCTCTGTGTTCTCGTCCACGCAGTAATGCTGACCCTCGGTGGCAGGCGGCGGCTCGTTGCTCTGCCCCTTATTGCTATGAATGAGTAATGAAAATTAAAAAAAGGTGTACAAATCACAGCGTTTGTACATTTGGAGCACGTGTGTTCACAGTAAAGCTTTAAAACTGCACATGCTCACCTGAAGTAGGACAGCCGCTTGTCGGAGGACCGTCCCTCCTCTGAGGAGACAATCAAGAGTTCAGATCAGAAAATCAACCGAACGAATGAGTTAATGCTTTCACAAGCTTACAAAAAGACAGGCTCTGCTTTTTTCCCTTTCATGCACACACTTAACAAGTTAGTCTGCAACTAGTTTGAATTGAACAAAAAAGGTTGAATCATGTCATCTGGACTTCGTTTTTTTGTTAGAAAGAAACGTTTCGCCCCTCATCCAAGAGGCTTCATCAGTCTGAGGCCTAGCCATCTGGTATTACCCAGAAGCCACCCTGACTCTTGTGTTTCAAGCCTGCCTCAGATACCCCTGAAGTCACAAACTTTGTGTTTTTGAAACCATTAGTGAAAAGGCCAGACTTCAGGGGTATATGAGGCAGGCTTGAAACACAAGAGTCAGGGTGGCTTTTGGGTAATACCAGATGGCTAGGCCTCAGACTGACGAAGCCTCTTGGATGAGGGGCGAAACGTTTCTTTCTAACAAAAAAACGAAGTCCAGATGACATGATTCAACCTTTTTTGTGGTTATATACCTGGATGACTGAGAAAACAAACTTTGTGTAGTTTGAATTGAGTTTCTTTTAATATTTTTACCAGTGGTCTGATTTCATGTTGCATTCCACTGAACGCTGCAGCTCTGAGCTAAAATAATTTAATATTTTTTTTAATCTTATATTACGGTCACTACAGTTTAATCTATTCTAGCTTAATTCATTAAGATTTGTTAAGTCCATATCGCTGTCTGGATTACTTAAAAAAAAAACTAATAAGTCAACAAACGTTGTTGATGCCCTTGTTTTATTGTATTCACCTGCTCCTTTGTGGCCCCTCGGCTCTGGAGTGACGGTCAGCTTCACACGCAGAGTCTTGTTTTTGTTGTGGCAGGAGTGATTGACAGACGCGTCCACCACGTCGTAGATGGTGTGCATCAAACTCGACATGTCCTTTAGAGACAGACAGAACAGTTCACCTTCTCACATCCAACACAAGACGAACCAAGCGTCAGATATAATGTTAAACAAAGAGACATTTCAGAGGGGGGGTGCAGGACGGAGTTACTTCTTTGGTAACTCTGCCGCTGTTGTCGAAGTCGTACAGAGTGAAGATCCACTCTTGACGGTTGTCGTCCTCCACAGAAACGCCACACTCCACGTCCTGAGAAGACATTTTTATTACATATGAGCTGAAAGTTTTAAAACTATATGCTGTGGTGATTTTAAAAAAGAAAAGTGATTACACATTTGTAACAGCAGGGGGCAGCAGATGACCTTATAATTAAAGGTTTCAACTGAGTGTATGTGGTAATAAATTAAATAACTTTTGTTGCAAAATAGAGGTAAAAACTTGTTTTATGTAAGTATTTTAGTGAAAAAAAAAAGTCCTCTTTCAAATTCTGACAGTAACTTTGAGATAGAGCTATCAGATTATTGTGGGCTGTTATTTGAAACACAGAACTGTGTCTCAGAGCTGGAGCCCTTTGTGGTTTCGCAATAAATCATCAAGCTGACTTTCTGTAATTGCTGAAGGGCATTTCTAACCATTTATAGCATGAAATTCTAAATTTTCCTATCAGATAATTCAGTTTGTTCCTCGAATGAATCAGAATACAATCTGGAGGGGATGTCAGTATCCAGATGGTGTGTAAAGCTTAAAAACAAATACTATAGTTAACTCTCAAAACTATATTTAAACTAAACGCACTGAGCCTCAAAGTGTGTTTAACACCACTGGCTTATAAACTTGAATATCTCTGACACAAAGAACTGTAATGGTGGAACTGTTTTAACCACATAATTGTGTTGTTGTACATTGAAACCAAATAAAGTAGTTGTTTCTGGGTCGTAGTTACATCGAGGCTGATGCGTTTCTTTCCCGAAGCTTTGGTGGTCTCTCTGAGTGCCTCCTTCTCGCCGTCCTCCAGGTGTAAACGCTGCAGATAGCTTTCACAGCGCTCGGCCTTCTCCGGGGGGAGAACCACTGTAAACACAAGAAAACCTTCAAACCTTTCGTGTATCTCAGTAAGTATGGAAAATATTCTCTAAGTCCCACAATTTAAGAACTCTCCTTCAGTGCTTTTGATCAGACTCTCAACAATAAAAATCAAATCCTGGTAAAAGTACCTGCTCTGTTGTAGCAGGTAAAAAATCATTGTTAATCAGACTGATCCATACGAGGCGTACAAAACCAATTTCAAGAGTCAAACTCTCTCAACCAGAGGCCATGAATACGTGTTTTACCTTAGATCAGGGGTGCCCACACTTTCTCAGCATGCAAGCTCCTTTTAAAATGACCAAAGGGATCTACCTACTCTAAGACCCCGTTTACACGAGAACAACCTCTGGAAATGTTAGTGTTTTTCCAACTTTTATTGGGGGTGGGTGATAAAAAATGAGCAGATTTACAGGAAAACGCTGTAGTTTCCATGTCAGTCAGGTTGCCAGATAAGAAATCATGAACTACTGTATAGTACTGTCACTTTTAAAATTATAGTACTTTGACCTAAACTGTCATATGTGCTGAGTATAGATACTCTAAGATGAGGTGTGTGTTGAGTTTGTTGAACATGTGCGCAGAAAAGGAAGGGGTAAATAAGAAATTTTTAATTTATGGGCCAAGATGGGATAGAGGCAGGGACTCGAAAGTCCTGGGTTCGTTCCCCAGTCATTGCACATCTCATGGTGTCTCTGAGCACCACACCCCATCCCTAAACGCTCCCATGGCACTTTCAATAGCTGCCCACTGCACCACCTGGTGGTGGATGGGTGAAATGCAGAGAGCCAATTTCACCATTGTATGGAAACATACAATGATGACAATACATAACACATTATTTATTATTATTATTATCTGGCAACCCTCATCACGCATGCAGCATCTGGATGATGACCGTTACATTCAGACTGGTGAACACACAAACGTCTCTTTGGACCCTGGATTTTATTAGTTTTGCCCCAACATGCTGAAAAAGGGTGAGCAGCACAAAACCACTATGCTCTCTGTCATTTATTATAACTGGTGTTAGTGCAGAAAAACTTTGGACTGCAGCTGCCTGTAGTGCACATGTGACTTCACACCTGCAGAGAGCATTTCACATGTCCATGGGGGGGGGGGTCCTCGGAAAATCTCCACTCTGAGACCTGGATTCAGAAACCTTCGGTTTCAGAGAGAACGAGGGCCGTTGTGTAAATGAACGGCCGGATGTTTCACGTCGTGTAAACGGGGCCTCAGACTGGCTGCCCTGTATGTCAATCAAGTGACAAATTTCAGGATGTATGATAGGCTGACGTCTAATTTTTTTTACCCCGCGTGATCTACCCATCTTTACGATTGACTGGTAAATCGAGATAGACGCGTTGGGCACCATGATGTTCATCAAATGGAAGTTAGAAGATAAAACATGATGAAACTGTGTGAAACTCTGGATAAGAGCATCAAGTGTCAGGAACTAGCGAGCCATGCTTCAGCTCTGAACTCGACTGGTTTGTTTAGTGAAGACAAAATAAGAACTCGTGCAAAGATCCACACTTTAAATGACGTAAAATGAATGAGCACTGAATCTGTAGCTCTTCACGACAGTGTCTTTTCTCCTTCAGAGCCAGGGGTGAATCAAATGAATCCAAAAAGCAGGAAATGAACTAACAAAAGTTTGAAACTCAAAACGTTTCCCTGAATCATCATCAGTATTCTCTCTGTAATAAATCTGTTGTTTAATTCTCATGGCACGGACCACACGCATCATCAGCTCACCTCTTTATTTTGCTAAACTCCCGTGTAAAATTGAAAATTGCAGATATTTATGATAAACTCTGAACATTTGAAACTGACAAAGAATATCGTGAGTTTTGGGGAGGGGGGAACAAATAAACATTAAAGAGATACATCTTTACTATAATCTTGGGCGTATAAATATTTGTATTTTAGTGTTAATATTGTTTAAATCAAGAACTAAAGCAGAAAAAAAACAACGAATCAAACTGAGACAGACACTTAAACGGGCTGTGCATGCTGCCGCGGTGGCTCAACATTTCCCCCACAACAGCAGCTCACCATCGACGGAGAGGAAGATTAAAGATTACATAAAAGATTAAAGGCCTACATTCCTTGACACCAGCTTTCACACACGTTTTAAAGTAGGATCATCTTATTTTGAAAAATTACTATTTTTTTTTTGGGGGGGGGGGTCTTTTTGCTTGGATCTTAAAACCAGTACACATTTACACAAGAAATCGCAACATCTCGCAAGTCATCTCAAAGCACGCGCTGGAGATAACTCTCAGCTACTACCACGTCAAATTTTAGGTCAATATCTGTAAAGTTGATGGTTACAGACGTTTGTGTTTACGAGGGTAGATTAGCTGAATCATGCCGACTCCAAACGATAAACAGTTGGAGCAGTTTGGCCAATGATTACTTTCTGAGAGTTTCATTAAAATCTGTTCACCGGTTCAGAAAACATTTTGCCAACAGACCAACAGGGACTAACAGTTAATGAGGTTAAGTACTTTACTTTTCTAGCAGTTAATGAAGTTAAGTACTTTACTTTTCTAACAGTTAATGAAGTTAAGTACTTTACTTTTAAATGCGGGTAACGAACAACTTTCTGCAGCCCAATTAAGATCTGGTCGCTACGGCAACGCAAACCTAAGAACTGCTGTAAAACTTTTCTCTACGTACCCTCCAGGGGACAGTGTTGGTCTGCGAGTTGTCCTTCCTTCAGATCACCGTTGGGAAACTCCTGGGAAAAGGAGAGAAATGAGGAGAGGATGAGAGAACAGAGAAGAGGAGGAGGAGGGGATCAGAGATGTAAGTGAATCCACAGTTCAGACCACAGACTCAGAGAAAACAAACAGTTCCAGCCAAAGCATTTCCTACTCAGATGAGCGCTGGAGGCTCCGGCGAGGCCGAGCACTTTGAACATCTGCACGCTTATTGTGCTTCGCCGTCTGGGACGCAGCGAGCGCGGCCACAGCCGGCCTTTCAACATCCTTCCCGGCTTCTCAAACCGGTCCCTCGCATCCATCAAAAAGCCCAGCGAAGCACTTCATCGTCTGAGCCAACCTGCTTCTTCTCATCCTTCTTGACATGACAGACCCACTGAGAAGTTTGACTGGAAGCCCAGAGTTTACGGGGGAGGAGGGGGAAAAATGGTTTTGTTGTACGACTTTCTTACAACTTAACTGAGATGTAGGGTTTATGTAGGAGAGACGTTGAAATGAGGTCTGGGCTGCATTTATTTTAACTGCAGAATAACTGCCAGATGGAAAGTTCCTCGCAGATGGGAAGGAACATGTGATTGCACAACGTGAAGCAGCACAAAAAAGGATGGAAAGAAAAAAGAAAAACAGTCATTTGTGAAAAATCTAGCGCCAGCATAAAGCAGAACATGTGCTGAAGAATGGAGACAAGGTCTCCGCTCACCAACGGAGCCATTTTTTAATTACAACTTGATGGTGGAAACAATGAAAATTAAGAGCAGAACGAGTCCTAAACCACAAGGACTTAAACAGCAAATGATTCATCTCGTTTACGTCATTCCTGGTCCTCTAAAGCTGCTCCGCACACACTTGGGAAAAACAAAAACACATCTCACTCGATTAAATCAAGGAGGACGAATGGAGTTAGGACAAATAAAAAACAGATAGATACTAGAAAACAAAAGAACTCCTTGTAACTTTGTCAGGCTGAGACCTAAGTTTAGAGTATGAACATCTGCATGTGCACCCCCAACACCGTTTCTCCTTCCCCTCCATCTCTGAGCGTAATCACAGCGCCGAGGCTCACGGTTCCATTCAACAACCTCAAAGACCTAATTATTCCTCTCCTTGCTAGATGATACCTCCAGTTTGTAATCTGGTCCTGACCTTCATCTTTAAAATGGAGATGGGGTTGGGGGGTGCAATGAGTCTCAGGGTCAAGGCTTGAATGACGCTTGCAAATTGGCCACCAGAGACAAAAAATAAATACATTTTAAAAAGCTGTGAAAGAATGAGAGTCAAGTGTTTGTAGAGGAGGGGAGGGACCCAGGAGGAAGGAAAAGAGCAAAGTTGGGATAAAAGGGAGAAATAGGGAAGGGAAGATAAAAGGAACAAAGACGGGAGGCTGATAAAAGAGGAGGCCGTTTAGGAGATGGGACCTACACTGGTGCTTGAACGTTTGTGAACTCTTTACATTTTTTTTAAATTTCTGCATAAATATGACCTAAAACATCATCAGATTTTCACACAAGTCCTAAATGTAGATAAAAAAAAAAAAACCTCAGTTAAACAAATGAGACAAAAATATTATACTTGGTCATTTGTTTACTGAGGAAAATGATCCACTATTACATATTTTGGTTATTTTGTTTGAAAGTCTGAACTCAGATTTGGGAAATAGACCAACTTAAGTGTGTTCCAGTTGCAAACCCACAGGATTAGCCAGTTGTTGTGCTCCGCGACCAGGCTAACTACTATTAGCGCTACGAGCTCAAAACAACCATCTCTGCATTTTCTACATTCAAACACCGAGACAAAATGTTCACAAAGGTTTTACAGTATGAACAACAAAAAAGGTTGAATCATGTCATCTGGACTTCGTTTTTTTTTGTTAAAAAGAAACATTTCGCCCCTCATCCAAGAGGCTTCGTCAGTCTGAGGCCTAGCCATCTGGTATTACCCAGAAGCCACCCTGACTCTTGTGTTTCAAGCCTGCCTCAGATACCCCTGAAGTCTGGCCTTTTCACTAATGGTTTCAAAAACACAAAGTTTGTCAGGGTGGCTTCTGGGTAATACCAGATGGCTAGGCCTCAGACTGACGAAGCCTCTTGGATGAGGGGCGAAACGTTTCTTTTTAACAAAAAAAAAACGAAGTCCAGATGACATGATTCAACCTTTTTTGTTGTTATATACCTGGATGACTGAGAAAACAAACTTTGTGTTTTACAGTATGTGTGCAAAATATGCAAAAGGATACAAACTAATAGAAAGTAATAATAATAAATCTAACAAAGCTTCATTCAGTCTGAAGCGACTGAGGAAGTTGGATAAAAGATGAAACGTTTCAAGAAAGAAGAATCTGCCCAGAGGACCTAGTTACTGGATTATTGTGCATGCATCAGGACATAACAACAACAACAAAAAAGCTTATTTTTGTGGCTGTCAAAATGTCTTTTTTTGCATGGCAAATATTGTATTTTGGATTCCTTCACATAAACTCACAAGACAAGTTCACACCACTAATGAAAATAAAAAGACAAAAGTTCACGTTAGTGGATGGATACTTGGGCACACGTTCATGGCGCTGACCTGCAAGATCCTGCTTGTAGGTTTGAATCTTCCCATGTTGGCACAGACTTCTTCAATGGCTTTGAGGAGAGCCTAAGAATCTGACTGGGTTGACTTCACAGCTGCTTTGCTACTACCTTCAAGGTTGTGCATAGCTTTGTGTGTTCAACTCCTGTCCTATCAGCTGACTGGTTATGGTTGACAAACGATCAAGAGTTCTCATACGTGTCATTCATTGCGACTGCGCTCTTACACCCCAGCTGATCTCTGGCAATTGCTTTGCCACAGGATCCAGTTGTTGTAACTCCTTTTCTTAAGGTAAAAGTATCCATCCAGGCTGTGTTTAGACAGGAAGCAAGTCCTTGTTGCTTCTGATGATCTCGGTGCTGAGTGACTGTGTAATTTTGGATTGGTAGCCATATATCCTGACAGCATTATAACCCATCAATGGTAACAACTCCTCATTCAGTCACAAGGGAACTGCTCAATCTTGCTCAAATGAGCAATATTGGTATGAAGAGGTGTGGCAGGTTAGAAGGTGATAATAACTCAGAACTGGAAATGTGTGAGCAATTCTGAGGGTCTAAATGTCATGAGGTGTCACAAAGATCATACCTTTGGTGTTTTAATGTTTCATGCTGCTGTATTCATTCATTCGTACTCATCTACCCACAAAGACTCATGTTCGTGCTGCTGTTGGTTGGTGTATTGTTTTGCACTATTAGTGACAATCGTGTATCTTAGATCTTTAGCGTACCGTTTGGCGTTCGTTGAACGTATATATTCGTTTATATTTTTATTTACTGTTTCTTTTGACATTTTATATTTTTGTTATTGTTGGATGCAACTGGGATCCTGTGTCCACTATTTCGTTCTACCTCATGTACTACATGTGATGCGAATGACAATAAAGAACCTTGCCCTTAAAAATGTATTGGGAGTTTTGTCCATACACCTGAATATATATATGGAATAACCTTCACATCAATGTGAAGAAGACAAAGGAGATGATCATGGACTTCAGATGGAACAAACTCACCTACACCACCCGAACATAAGAGGATCTGCGGTGGAAGTGGTCTCCAGCTACAAGTACTTGGGTGTACACCTGAATGACAACCTCAGCTGGAGCAACAACACTATGAGCCTGATCAAGAAAGCTCATCAGAGACTCTACTTCCTCAGGCGGCTGTGACAAGCTGGTCTGGGAAGCTCAGTCCTCACCTCCTTCTACAGGTGTGCAGTGGAGAGCATCCTGTGCTCCAGCATCAATGTGTGGCATGGAGGCTGCACAGCTGCAGAAAGAAAAGCTTTGCAGAGAGTGGTGAAGGCTGCACAGAAGTCTGTTGGAATCAGCCTCCCCACCATCACAGACATTTACACCTCCAGAAGCAGGAAGAGGGCCACCTGCATCATGAAGGACCACACTCACCCAGCACACACACTTTTTGCCCTGCTCCTCTCAGGAAGGAGGCTAAGGAGCATTAATTGTAGAACCACTAGACTGAGGAACAGCTTCTACCCTGAGGCTGTTAGACTCATGAATCTCTAACCAGAATAATCACGGTGAAAAATCACATCATGTTGCTGCTGATCTGTTTCAATGTTGATGTGTTCATGCGTGCTCATCTGCTCACACAGACTCATGTTCGTGCTGCTGTTCGACATAATGTTTTTACGCTATTAGTGCTTAATGTATTATTTAGTTGATGTTTTTCTTAGTTCATATCTTAGATGTTATTACTGTTTTTCTTTTACATTTTATTTTTGGATGTAACTGGGAACCTGTGTACATAATCTCGTTCCACCACATGTATCACATGAGATGCGAATGACAAATAAATCTCTCTGAATCTCCGAATATGAATATTAAGTTCAGAGTTGTTTTACTTTGAAAGTTAGAATTCAAATCTTCTAAGATAACGTCCCACCCAACAGAACCCTGCTCCTGCTGCGTCAAACAAATCTATGGGATTTGATAGTTTTCTGTGCTCAGTGACCAGGCTAACTACTATTAGCAATAAATGCTAATATCAATATATTTCTCTTTATTGGTAGAAACATGCTCAGTAACAGAGAATGTATTCCTGCCAATAATTTAATGATACAGAAGCCGAAAGAAGTGCAAATAAATAGTTTATTACTGCAGCTATTACGACTTTGGATGTGAAGAGGCAGCCATGTTGGATTTTAGTGGGTTTCTCATCAGCCCCTACTTCAAAATACAAAACCGCTGACTTGTGCATACAAAGTGATGAGAGTTGCTATAATAAGCCTTTTTTTTGGGGGGGGGGGTGTCGTGTCAGTTTTTATCTCACTAAATTGGTCACCCGCATCACACTGAACTTTCTTTGTGGGTAAACATGTTGATACAGAGTTTAGAAGCAGAAATACATTTTTATTAGCTTGTGTTGCTAATAACAGTTACAGAGCAATTCTGGGAGAGGTGGAGATAGTGGGTACTGTTCGCTGT